TTGAGGGAGGCGTAGTAGCATCAAGTTTGGAAACCACTGCTCTACACAATGTCTTGTATTGTGTATCTGGATTTACAGCCCGATTCGTGACTACATTTTTCACTCGGTCGTTTAATCTCGCATCGTTTGTTCAACGAATTAATCCAATTAATTCCCCGTTGAACCCTTTGTCCCATTGTTTCAATTTGTTTCCGGTTCATTCCAAATCCTTCCAGCTCCCTTTTATATCCTGCAACAAAGACACAATCAATTATTTATGTTTTCGAGTAAAGATTTCAACATTAATTTTATATTAACGCATGAGTTAATAGGGAATTTCTGAAAATTAAAAAAAAAAATTAATGAAAATGTTAATAAATTGAGTCACATTTATTCCCGTATCTTTTTAAAATTCATCAAATAAACTCGTTTTAAACACGCACGTTTCGTATATATTGCACAGGTGATGAAATTGAAATTAATTAAATTCAATGGTTACGTTTGAATTGAAATAGCAATTACTTTTTCCGTATTTCTCTAATACTAAATTTGTTATAGACTAGATTGAATTATCGAATTAAAAGCTAAGATTGAAGAGAATCTATTGAGTACAAATGCATTTTAGAATGTCTTATGATATTTGCACAATTTAAAAAGATTTTATTGCTTTGACTTGTAGCAAATTAATAACTTATAATTAACTGTATTTTTTTGTGTGAAACGCGTTTAGATTATTTTTTCTTGAGAATGAATGAAGATGATTTCTATTGAAAAAAAGAAAAGAGTTAATATAGGTTGTGGAAAGATTGGTGCTCGTTCCATCGACTCTTGCATTATTGATTGCCGTGACGTTCACGTGGTAATTCCTACATAATACAATGTGATACGTTTTGTTGTAATTGTGCGGCGAGGAGTGCGAAGTGTTTCGAAAAGCGTTTTTCTTTTCGCGTGAGTTGGCTGGTAATTGAATAACGCTGTACGCACTCTTTTCCCCATTTATTTATATATATTATTTGTCCTCACCGAGGTTCCTTCTCTCTCTCTCTCACTCTCTCGCCGTAATCTGCACTTGTAATACTTTCTGGGGGTAATAACGATATCGATTGCGTCTGCGGGGGGGTAGGAGGAGGAGGAGGTCCGGAGAGGCGGCTGCGGCGACTACAGGATGAAGAAAGAGGGGACGGGAGGAGGAGGAGGTGGGCTTTGGGGGCAGTTCGCGTGCGGCGTCGAGGCGCTGGCGTCGCGGCTCTGGCGTCGCAGTCGACGAAGCGTCGCAGTGCCGGCAATGATGCGGTGCAGAATGGGGCGATGTGAAGAGTGACCATGAGAGTATGGGGCTGGATGGGGCCGCTGGGACCTCTGCTCCTATTCGGCGGAGGACTCCTTCTGCTCTCCACCACGACACAAGCCCAGAACTCGACGCAGAAAGCCAACAACAGCAGCAGCAGAAATGGTGAGCAAAGATCAACCCATCCATGCTGCAAATTTAAAAACAAAAGTTAAAAACAAGAGCAGCAAATAATTGCGTCAATCAAAAGTTGAATTATTCAAGATTCACCTACAGTAGCTTCGATTCTCTCCAATTTGTCTTCGTCGAGCGTACATTTTATATATGTTTTATGTAATTACACACTTTCACCAGGTATAATTGGAGTCCGACACGAACTATTCGTACGAATGCGACACGTATAAATACCTGAATGCAACCATAATCGATCGCGTTTGTTTTTTTTCTTTTCTGTTGTTGTTGTTTTTGGATTTCGCTCGCCGAAATCTCAAACATGTTCGCTTGAATGCGGAAGCTGCTCCGGTTGCATCCGCATCCCTTAACGCGCTCAAACTTTCGGCCGAAACAGGAAATTGCGTTTTCGCCAAAGTTCAATTAGTCGATGCGACGCTTCCTTAATTGACTTCCTGAAACCGGAAACGCGGGGGTGCAAATAAAGTCACATAACACACTCGCGCGCGCGACACACGTACACAAAATCAATCCCTTCACCACAAGCTCTTCACTTTCTTTCCTCCAACAACAAAAAAAAAACAATTAACGTCAATGTTGGCGATTGTTTGCAGCCGCACCCCGCGATGCGTTTCTACATCGCATTAGAGAAAAAAAAAAGGAAACGCGTGACGTAAGATGGCCGACGCATAATGCAAACGAGCAGAAACAATTGATAAACAAAAACAAAAACGTAATTTTATTATGTTTCTGCATCATGGCAATCGTTTTTTTGCCTCGTTTTTCCGTGTCTGATGCACATTTCAACATTTACGAGCCATAAAACCCTCTGATGGATATTTAAGCTGTCTGCTCCGTTGTTATTAATCCCATCGCAAATTGTTATCGACTCTAATCCACTTCAAACCATTCTTCCAAACGAATTTTAACGAATTGCTTTATAACATTATTGATGTTCGAAGATTTAACAATCAAAAATTCTATTGGAAATTTACATTTCATCGAATAATAAAGTTCAAATATAAAGTGTAGGGAATGTAATGAATGTAAATACATGTTTGTAACTCTTTGGTAATTGAAGATAAATCGACGACAGCTGAAATACGCTGAATTTTACGATTGCTACGAATGTTGAGGCACAAATTAAATATTTATACGAAAGCTAAAACTGTAGACAATGTAACAAGTGTACATACAATATTGTATCTTGATGGATGTTTGAGATATTGACTGTTAAATTTCGAAAACTATAAGAAATTTGAGCGATAAAGTTTTAGTAAGCACGAGACGTTACAACTTAACGATTTTTCAGATTGTTAAAAAAACAATAGATTTTGTATTAAAAGAAAGGTGAAACTATAGAGAATGCAACATTGTAAAACTTTCGGTGTTCGCTTAATAGTCTGCGGACAAAGAAATTGAAAGAAGAAAAATAAAAATTTTAAATTTAAAAAAAAAACTCACATTTTCTCTTTCAAATTCGAGATATGCTCGAAGGCGATGAAATAGAATAGCTCATTTTCGATTATTATCAAGTTAGCCAGATGGCTGGTGGTGGTGGAGGCGCCGGGTTCGCGGAATGAAAACTTCTTTTCATTGCGTTCAATTTTTTTTTCCACCTAAGCCCTCTTTCATTCCTCATTTTTTTTTTATTTCTACCTCCAACGCCTCCGCAAACTTTTTTTATTCTCGCAGCGATTCTTTTCATCTTCTCATTTTTTTTTTCCTACTTCTTATATACTAAAGAGCGCGCATATTAATTACGATGCAGTCGAGAACGAAGAAACCTTTCCTCATTTATTTTCAAGAGGCAAAAATGTACATATTCCAGCGGTTTATTCAAATGAGACGCTTTGCATTTCCTTGCTGAATATACATATGAAATAGATATATATTTTTTTTCAGTTTTAGTGCAATAACCCATGACCCTTGCTAAAATAAGTACGAACTCGCAGCAATAAAATGTCTGTGGGGGGGCGAAGAAAAGAAAATTGCAAATTGTTATTTTCACGAGATCGTATAAAATAGAAAAACAAGAAAATTGTGAGCTCAACGTACAGGAGATGGCTCTGTTTTCTATTTTCCCTCAGAGCCTGAAACATATTTTATGCAACAAATCGCCTTGCCAGAGGTTTCGATTTCAGCCGTATTACTACTGTGCATCCGCCCGTAAATAAAACCGAAAGTCGTAAAAGAATGGTAGACCGAATGAAAAAAATTCATAATAGAGGGATTCTTCGTCATCTCATCCCCGGAGATAACGTTGCAATATTAACTCTTCAATAGTCTCTCGAAATCCAGATTAAAGTTGAGGATAACTCAAAGTTATAAATGCAAATAAAAGGAAACGAAGCCGTTTTGTTCATAATTACACAGCGGGCTTTCTTCGAGGCTCGCATCTCGGCCGCCTATTGTGTTTTGTTTATGCTGTAATAAATATGCAACACGACTCGCGTCTATGGCTCATTTCCAATTAGATATTTGGCAACCAGTGAAACGCAAATGGTTCATGGCACAAACTAATAATTCAAGTTTATTAAATAGCTAAAGCTTAATATCACTCGTAATATCACTGAACTTTATTGATAAGCAAATAACGCAATTGTTACATAAGATTGGAGAACTTCCAAAATGTATACACGATCCAATAGATGGCGTAAACCAAAATTGTAACGTAACGTAAACTTTTTGATGTTCGCAATTTACTCTATTCCTCGAACGGACATTTGTTGCGCTCATTTAACTTCGAATGTTTGCCTTTAATTTTCTTTTTTTGCGGAGATCAAACGAATCGTTAGATTTCAGAACTTTCCAGATTAAAGTGGACGAAGCGCTTCGCCTGTGTTTCGCGCTAATTGTGCATGACTTCAATTAAACGATGGCTTAATGAAAGCCTTTGCAGTCGCGGCCGGAATTCATAACGCAATTAAATTCCAGTTTTATTTGACTTTTCTTTTTTATTTCCACGTAATTCCCCCGTTGGAAGGGCTCGACGTATTCCAGCCGTTTGGGAATTGGGAATTGGACCTACCCAGAACGTAATTTACAGCCGTAACAAAAAAATAAAAAAAAATAGAAGGAATATAATAATTTACGTCGCAGGTATATTTGGTCACGTCAATATGATGGATTGTTATGTACGCTTTTTGTCGTACAGTTATTTAGTTGTATTAGTAGACTAGTCGTGAGGGATTTAATAGAAAGTCGATCGATTAGTGGTGAAGCAGTAAAAAAAAATGCTCGAAAACTAGTTAAAATAAATAACATTTTGAAAAGAAACGCAAAATATGATAGTTTAGTGACATTTATTCTACCAGTTGGTAATCCCTTAATAATTAAAGGTTGGTAAATTTATACAAATTGGATTACATATGCAGCCCAATTTGCATTGTAATTTAATTTTTTTTATTTATTTCTAATTACAAAACTTCAAAAATATATCATTAACTACTTTGATTAAGAAAATTAGTCAAAAGAAATGGAAAATTAATGGATTGTTATGTACGCTTTTTGTCGTACAGTTATTTAGTTGTATTAGTAGACTAGTCGTGAGGGATTTAATAGAAAGTTGATTGATTAGTGGTGAAGCAGTAAAAAAAAAATGCTCGGAAACTAGTTAAAATAAATAACATTTTGAAAAGAAACGCAAAATATGATAGCTTAGTGACATTTATTCTACTAGTTGGTAATCCCTTGATAATTAAAGTTTGGTAAATATATTCAAATTGGATTACATATGCAGCCCAATTTGCATTGTAATTTATTTATTTTTTTTATTTATTTCTAATTACAAAACTTCAAAAATATATCATTAACAACATTGATTGAGAAAATTAGTCAAAAGAAATGCAAAATTAAGAATATTTCCAACAGAATTATTGCGTATTGTATGTTTCTATATTAATGAGACTGTTATTACAATTTGAGAGGCGGATAATTAAAATTGCATTGCGCTTAATTAGGCGGGTGGTTGCGCGCCCTCTCGGGATTGTTCAAAATTTGCGTCGTTCGCACGGTTCGTTAATTATGCAACTCGGAACACACACACACACAATGGAAACGGTTAAAACAAAAGGCGGAATATTTAAAATTTTGCGCTCGCATTCACGAATTGCACTCTGCGTACGATTGTTGTACCAGAAAGGACAAAAGGTCGTTGAAGCACTCGCTCTGAGATAATGGGGAAGTTGGAACAAAATGGAAAAGTGAGAGAAATAAGGGAGTTACAGGTAGGTTGTCAGCATCAATAAATATTTACAGGTTGGTACGGATGTGTACCAGCCTGCTTCGATGATATAATGAATTTATAAGTCCGCGTGAATAGAGGGCGTCGCGACGCCTCCGCTCATCCCCTAGAGCTCAATAAACCGCACACGTATCTGCATAACGTTTCGTTCCATTATTAATAGGAATTATAATAAAAGTATATTAAAATTCTCCGTCGAGAAGAGCGAGAGAAAGAAATAATAATAAGTGGTGAAGGAAATTCTCAACCCCAACAGTAAACTCATTGACCTACACTAAAGCTCTTCACCAAAACCATTTATGTTTTAATTGCAAACCTAAATCGATAATCAACTTACAACGTGTTTTAGCAAAATTTCCGCAACCCTGATTTCATAACATTATCTTCAACGAAACTTTTCCCAAACTTCATCGACGCTCATCCGTGAAAATCTTATATTAAACTTTTCCACCAGAAAGTTTACTAATTTAAAATCATACAAGTATTTCAATACAATTTCTTTAGTTTGAAGCCATTATTTCTATAAATAATTTCAGTATTATTGAAATGATTTAAAAATAAACTAATTACTGCAGTAAACATGTATGGAAAAGTACGGCAAGTGAATAAAACTAATAGATAAGTGTAAGCTTGGGAATTGAGGATCGATAAAAGTGTTTGGAAATTCGTTAAATATTCAACGAAATAAACTGTTTCCCTTTATTTTCCATCGAGTGCTGCAATTCATTCAGAGTGCCTCAATTGATTATAAAGTTACAAAATTTACAAAATAAAAACAGAAAAGACATAAAACTCGAATCTCAATCAGAGTGCTTATTTATTAAGTAATCAATACATTGATTTGGTTTCCATGCAACAACAACGAATTGTCAAAATCACTTAACGGTTAAGTAACGTTAACGTATTGTAACGTAACGGCAAACTCGGTACGAATAAATTGAGCATGTTATTATATATGCAACTTAATATGCAAATTAATTTGATTATTACGTCACAAATTTTGATTGAAAACACTTAAAAACAAACTCTTATCAGCGTAAATCTGGAAATTCCAAATTGATTAATTAAATGTAAATATATATTTTTATATAGTTTTATTGGTAAAACCACTTATAAAGTTTGATAATTGTTACGATTAAACTGACGTTTAAAATGTCAGCCATCTATGATTTTCATTATTAATGTTTCAAACAATTGATTGAATGAAGCAACGAAATCTGACATAAGCAATCGTGTTTTTTTGTTGTGTGGAAATTGAATTGTACCGAGTGGAGCATGAAATATGCAACGAAACGGAGCCCTTTTATTGGGACGTGATCGTGCGATTCACGTTAATATTAAAGAAGGGTGGATGGGAGTTTAACATGAAAGTGGGAAGCAATAATTTGAGCAATTAATGAAAGGCCGTTTGAAGTCATTGTCGAGCTTTCTTTTTTGTGGAAAACGGGGGTCTTTCGCCAACGATTTTCTTGGGAAACAAAGGGTTTGTGTGTGAGTTGTTCAATGTTTGGTTTTATCGAACAAGCTTTCCCGACTTTTGCGCATTGCGTGTCGACGTTTTTATTTTCCCTCCCTCGCGTTATTATTATTACTACCGCTTCGTTCAGAATGTGTCCTTTTCTTCATTATACAACTACAAACTATACCCCCTTCCCATTAATTAATCCTTCCAGACGTTATTTACAATCGAACAATGAAACATTCTCGATTGCAACGTAACTATTTTCATTTTCATTACTCATTATTTTTTATTCCCATTTTTTTTTTAATTATGTACACTAAAAAAAAAGTAATTGCATTATTTTTGAAATCGAGATGGAAATGGCACGAATCGTGTCGCCGTATGTTCGTTTGAATAATTTAATCGGCGCTGAATTATTTACTCATCATCGGAGCAGAGTTTGACCGACATACGCAAACTGAAGCAATAATCAATCGATTCGAATACAAATAACAACATTCAATATATCTTGGTAAAAATAAAACAACGTAGTCTCTCACATAACAAAATGTCATGGTTGTCATGGTTATAGCTAATTTGATTATAAAACAAAAAAGTTGTCATTATTATAAAACAAAAGATTAAAACAAAACTTGTTTATTTAATAATAATATAGAATTAGAAGATTAATTGAATTTTCTATTTAATTCATTTCTGAAAAGTTATTTCTGGATCATCCGCGAACTTTATTTACATTTCAACGGTGGTTTGATTGAATGAAAACGTTTATTCAGTATACTTATGTAATCTATAATCTACGAGTGAAAATGAGTATAGGTATGAAGTACAAACAATCGAGTTTCCTGAAGCGGATAATGTATTTTGATGAATGGTCCGAGTGTGCAGAGTTTTATGTGTATGTGTAGAATCGATATGCGCGGTGGAAAACGTTCGATAAGTGTGCATCAATTATGTAAAACGGAGATGAAATGCCTCTCGGTAAACGGCCACGAACGTCGTCGCAAAAATTACGAAACGAGAAACAAAGAGGAGAGAATCTCAACGATGTAACTATTTTTTTTATTTGTTCTTTGCAGAGTCCGTAAGTAGAGGATCGAAGAAGCTCTTCGGGGACAAATGCAACGCCACCGAGGAGTGCGATTTTTCGGGGTCCGTTTGCGATAAATTGCACGGATGCACGTGCAACGAGGACAACCCCATCAGCAATCATCTGGACAAATGCGGAAAAAGTAAGTGTGAATACACAAAGTAAGTCGTATGTCAACGATACTTTATTATATAATCATGACAGTATAGGTTGTCATGACAATAACAACAATCAATCAACATGGCTTCCATTATGACACACGATTTCAAGAGAAACGTCAGTTTTCTTTCACATTGTTTTTTTTTTTTGCCGCCACCTTCGATCACGTGCATTTTCAACAAAGTGAAATGTGAATAATTTTTCGCGGAAATCCGATCTCCAGAAACAATAATACTAAATCGAAAACGCATTACATGAGCTCACATTTCTGGAACGCGAAATGCAACAAAAATTCCGCGTTTGTTCGACGATAAAAGGGTGGATATTAAAAATAGCTCGAGTAGTTCAAAAGCTGTTCGAACACACATCAACAACAACAACAAAAAACTAGCGTCGTTCCAACAAAGGCGCAAACTGTGTGTGTGTGTAGGTCGCATAGAATTTTTTTTTTCCGACGTTTCCTGTGAAACGAAAAACGTATTCTGTGTGTTTTTCCTTCTACTTTTTTTTCTCTTCCTATTCCTGCTTCGTCCTAGAAACGTATTCCTTTGTAATCCCTTTTTCAGTGCTGCCCTTTTGTCAGTCAAACTAACGTAACATTGCCAGATCCGAAATCGTTTCAGCAATCCGCCCAAACATTCATCTTCAAATTCGGTTTTCTCAAATTGCAGAACATATCATTTTATTTAACATTTATTTTTATTTCATTTTAAACAATCCCTTAATATCTTTGGAAAGTACCGAAAACTTAATTAAAACTCCATAGAGGATTAGTAGAGTGGAGCAAGAAATAATTGCAAATGGTAACTCTTTAAATTAATTCGTATTCTATATGTGGAAGTAATTCCACTAAGAACTCTGTTAGTTAGTAGTAAAGTTTGGATTGTTCTGCAACAGAAGTTGCACATTCTGTGTGTGTTTGTGCCCGGGAAGGAAGGTTTATCCGGCTGAAAGCAGATTAGCTTCGCGTCGTAACTTTGACTCCATTTAATCAGAATCTCCAACAAACAGATAATCTTCACTTAAAAGAACGGAACTTTATCTAAGGTTTACGTTTACTGAAGGAAAATGCTTCAATCAAATTAAAAATAATTGTAACCATAGCAACAAAATGGTTGCTTTTGAATACGTAAAAGTAACCATAGCAACAAATTAATATTGCGTAGTTAATCAACGACTGACTGTCAAGAATGACACATGAGAGGATAAGGAGACTGGGGTTGGTTAGCATTAAGGTTTAAATATTCAAATGTAATCTTGTGTGGATTAAGTGCGGATTTACAGATGCGCTCCGTTTGTGAATTGTGTATGCGTATCCGTTGAGATTAAGTTCTTGTAGTGGTGTTTCCCGGGTATGAATAAATGATCCATGATGAAGGAATGTAAATTTCAGGTGCGAAAGTGAACGAGACGTGCACGTTCAACGAGCAATGCGAATCGGAGACTCTGCAGACGGAATGCCGGGACGGGACGTGCGTCTGTATGTTCGAGCAGCAGGCCATCACCAAGTCGGACGGTACACACGAATGCATCTGTAAGCGATCAACCATACGAAATCAATCAAAATCATCTTCTTAACATCTTTTTTTTTTGATTTTATGCAGCGGTGAAGAACGAGGTGACTCCGGAGAGATACGTGGACCCTGCGATGATCGGCATTCTGGTCGCGATGTTCCTCATGTTCATCACGATCTGCGTGGTCCTCAGACTCTTCAGCAGGTAAAGAATTCGGTGAATTTCATTATATCGATTCCAATTCCAGAGTCAGTCGATTCTCTTCATCCTCTTGAATTAATTAATTAATCCTGCAACAAAACGAAAACAGCAACTTGCTACAACTTTACACCATATTTACACAAGCCCTTTCATGCACAACTCGATCGATCGAATCTTGAATTACAGACGTACAAAATGATTAAATTTCAAACATTGTTTTATGTTGTCATAACTACGTAAACAATCGAGTAATTTATTTAACTTTCGTCACCTGTCAACTCACACTTTATATGTCATATTGACAATCACTTTCAGTGAAACAGAAACAAATATTGACTTTAAATCGCTTCCTTCCAACAAACGTTTAGATTTATCGATAGTAATTGACAGGATCATTTACTGCAATGGAACTGTATAAACAAGCAAGCTTCCATTTCCGGTCGATACGTTAGGTTTCAGGTCCACCTGTCAAGTGGGTGGGGAAGCTTCGAGAGGAAGAAATCCCTATAACTCTCAAGAGTCCGCTCACGTCCGAAGCGTAAAACAACAAATCCACTCCAATTTACCGCATCTGCACGACCCCAGCAACACCTCAATCGAAAACATCTTCTCTCCTAAATTAAGATGTTTATAGTTATTAACTATAAACAGATCAATCAACTATCAGGTTGGACAACCTAAAACATCTTTGCATCTAAACCTTTTCGGGTTGTCTGCCCCCAGAAATTTTTTCGTGGACGCCTATGGACTGAGTGAAACGTCAAATATCTTACGTCAATTAAAACCTTAACGTTAAATTCTTATACATTTTTTAATGATATTGAAGAAAATTTATAACAATTTGGGAAAAATATTGAAATTTTCATTCAATTCTATACTTGCTAGGAAAAAGTGCTTAGGTTTTATAATAAGCAATAATAATAATTGATTATTGCAATTTCTATTCAAGTCGAATATATCATCATGTGCATATCTCACAGCTTCTAAGCTTGTATTGTATTTGAATAAATTAGCAATGTTTTATATATCTGCTTATGATAATCATATTGTATTTTTAATGCCGTTGCGTTTCGATTACTTAGGAGCTGAGAAGCGGCAAGTAGCAAGTTAATTTGTAAAGTATGCCTAAATTATGTCACAATATCACGTATTGTTCTAAATTGCTTCAAGAATTATTAAAATATGTATAAGAAATGTA